TCAGATTTTCGGGTTGGCGTCGCTGATTTTCCGAACACACATCGGTTCTTCTTAACTAGCCATTGAAGATAAGTTTCTACTGCTTTTTACGCTTTACCAAATTGATACGTGATGACCTTTGAAATGTCAGTTTTCGTAGACCATTGGTCATTAGGCGATGACTCTTCATTCATGCTTTGAGCGTTGTGATGGGAACAGTCATGGCTCGAAAAACTGAACCCGTGCTTGCACACATAAAAATTGATCCAGAGAGGAAAATGGAAATTATTAAGCAATATGAAGTTAGGCGAACCTTAACGGCCACACGTTATGGCCTTTATAGCTTCGAAGCATCAACGGTGAATACATTGTGAAGGATGCTGCTAGTATAAAGGTGCGAAAACATAATATCAACGAATTGATTGACACACTTTGGGATGAATTATCAGATAAAAAATTCATTGAAATTAAAGCTACAAATATGGCTGAAGTTGAGGCTTTGAAACTATAAGAGATGACAAATGCATTTCGTGATATTTCAGTAGGAATGGCACTATTGGAGAAGATTGGTCCCAGTATCTTTCGGTTCTTAAAAGTCTGAAAACACACGGATGGCGTTTTAGCCTTTGAAGTTATTAAGTGATTTATGAAAAGAAGAAAGAAATTGCTGTTCAGTAATATCTTACTAATTTCATAAGGTAGAATTACCAAATTAAACATTTTTTATTTTTCTACTTTCTCACTATTTGTACTGTAATTGTATTGATAATTACGTATTGAAGTCTAATTGCTGTTGCCTTCTGTGAATCGAACTAATGTAAGTAACCTTTAAAACGTTAATATACTACTGCATACACGTACTGTAAACACGTAAACAATGCGATAGACCGAATCCGACTTATGTAGAATTCGTGTTTCGTAAAGGTTAGCGGAACGTAGCTTTTATGTAAATCTAAGTCTGTCTGTATTCATGAGCCATAGATGATGAATATCTCGTCTTGGTTATCCAGTTGTAGCATCACATTTTGAGAATGTTCCCAAGGCGTTACTGCTACACCGGATTGGGTGGAGCTTGACCTTACTGGTATAACTGCTTTGGAAGATTTGGAAGACAAACTTCGCTTCCTTTTCTGTTGTTTGATTTTCTCAGGCTTCATCGTGTGTTTAGAATTCGAAGTGAGGATTATTGCGTACAATTCTTGAACGGATCAATATTTTGTTTTGATTTTCAGGTACATGGTTCTCCACTCTGCCGCTCAGTGTTCTAATTTACGCAGCAGCAACCATGCACATTTTTGAACCAAGTCAACGTTGTGAGATGGTTTTTCGCATTACCTTTCGGCCCGGCGATCCGTAGATCTTTCAGCTCATGTCTAAATTCTTCAGCGCGTAGTTTTTGAAATTCGATGTTGGCGGTTTACGTTCACGGATATCGGTTTGAAAGATTGCGCTCATAGCCTCAGATGGAGCTTTTTCCATACTTACTCTCAGCTTTCAGTGAAGCTCGTAAGAGGTTGAGTCAGAAAGTCTTTTTGCAGAAGAACGTGAATGAAAAAATAGTTGTAGTTACTTTAACAATTGCAGTTCCACTACCTCAGGAGTTTTCATAGTTCGTCAAAACGCCGCATGCCCTATATGTTTCGTTGTTGCTGTCTAACTTACTCGATAATGAACTATATTTCCCATGTCCATCATTGGAGAGTACTATTTCCTTACCAACCAAATTGCGGATTAGGAGTTTTGTTTCTTACGAAAGTTAGATGCCGATGGAATTACCTCCTCGAAAAATGATCATCATCGAACTCCGGGTTGCCTTTCATCATCAACAAAATCAATCTTTTTAGAACCGCCCGATTTAACCGCTTGGCTCGGCGCTGCCAACTAAACTTCTGTAGCAGACTGCCCTTGCAGCGGCTATTCTTACTGTGGTTTTTGTCTGTTCTGTCCTTCTTGCATTTTCACGACGGCGATCCAAGGGCGAATTGTTAGACGTAGATGGGTGAAAGATTTCTTAAGCAAACCGTCAAGTAAGAAACGAGACAGCTTTGCAGTCATCACGGTTTATCGACGCAATAATGGCAATATCTGATGATGATTATTAAAAATGATGATGTCATGATGATTATATCGGCGATGAGCATTAATTAGTAATGATGGTTACTGTTAACATGATGCTGAATGCTAAGAATCAGTCTTGAAATGTTGTTAGCCTGTGAACTTCGCGGTTGTGCTGCATATTAATATTTGTCCGTTTGTAATGCCGCCTTTTCTTCAAAGAATCGTATGACGGACATCGTAAAGTGAATTGAAAAATGTATCCTTTATTTGAGGATTAATACTGGCGATTTGCGCACCAGTTGTTCGCCGTATTATTAATCCCTTAGATGAATTTTACATTACTGGCAATGACCAGTTTTGCATCCCCTGTTATGCGTTTGTGTGACATGTCACCAGCCTTCACGACTTTGGTTACGATTTGAGCGAACAACTAGGAATGCATTTTCTCATGGCAAACGATACTGCATTTTGGTTGCCGACCGTTTTTCAACGTTTCTGTTCCAAAATTGTAAAATTTTTCTAGCACCCAGTGTACCTGTATTTATATGTATTTGTTGTATACAGCGTGTTTATTAAATTTTCAGTTATGCATTTATTTATTTTTTTTATTTAGTAGTGACGATCAGTATGAACCAGTAGTGGTGCAGTGCACAGTGGATGGTTGTAAAAAACGCGTTCTTCCAAAGACTAGCTATTGTCGGAGACGTAAGTTTTGATATTCGTTTTCGTTAATCATTGATTTATTCAGATATTCTTCGTGACAGTCGTCAGTGTTTATATGTTCCGTGCATATTTTCCGGTTGCGACAATGCGGTATACAAATTTGCTGAGACGAAACTGTGCCTGGGTCATTACATGTACGCACCAAAAATGACGAAGCGAATGACCAACGTCGAAAACGAGGCACGCGTAGTGAGTGAAGGTGAAGAAGAGGTGAAATGTAAAGATGAAACCGAGACGAATCGAGATGAGTCAGTTCAAGTTGCAGAAGTTTGCAATGAAGTGAATGTTGAAGTTCAGGAAGAGAGTCAGCCCTGAAGAACTGATTATGAATGGTAAACTGCCGATAGATTTCCCTTTCAGAATTCTGTGCCATTAATTACATGGGGGCAACGTTTTGCGTTCTTTAGTTTTGCATATTCGAGTTGTCTGTGACACTAGGTATATCAGGTTGGAAACATTCGGTGGTAGTTTCAGGTTAGTCTTAAAAACAGTGTTTTGCGTAAAGTAAGATTTGGGGCTGCTGTCAGTATAGTCGGCAAGGTTGACATGGTTTTGCGTGTTTGCACTGCCAATCCAAGCACTGCATAGCAATGAGCAGCACGTACGCTATATGCATTTAAAATAAATCTATGATTAGGATTTCGACTATACGCCTGATTGGACAAAAAGTTAGATTTATCTGCAGTTTTGCACTGATGACATTTTTCGTCAGAATCAATGCTTTGTCCCTAAACCCTTTTCCCACATGGGCAGTCATATAGTTATGCTTAAAGGTCTTAACCTATCGGACGTAGTATAAATGTACAAAAAGTTGTTGCAGTATTGTTGTTGCGCAGATATTTATGCACATATTGCCTATCTGAGATACATCAATAAACCGAATCATGTCTCGTATTATTAGTGCTGTACGGATGCGATTGCTGTTTCGAAGTTCATTGAAGAGGGCAGATCAGCACTGCATACACAGTGGCACTGATTGCTTTCGGTGGCATTTGCAGAACGGTACAATGCAGGATTACTGTCTTCTGTACTCGTCTCCTGCAATCCGAATGGAATTTCATATGCATGTTCAGGTTTTATGAGTTCAGCATCTTTTGTATTTTACGATCGCCCGGATATGCAGCGTTTAGTAATCGATTTCTCACGCTTTCTCTAGGGTATTAGTATGGACAATCAACCTTCGAAATATGTTCCATCCGGACTTGTACAGCGTGTATTTTTTGTTAAGGGGCCTCTTAGAGGAGCGAAGACATTTGTCATTCCGTGGATAGCATTTTT